CTCCTATTGCCAACTGAAGTATTTAAGTAGGGATTCCTTTTGGGGAAAATGCAAATAAGCAGAATGATTGATGCTTGTTCCTTCTTTTAAATCTAGTACTTCAAGAGTTTCTTCTAGAGTTACAGGATTCTGTAAGGCTCTGGTTTCATGTTGATGACTAAGATCTGTCTTGTGGCTTGTTTTCTTTTTTTGAAGAAGTGAATATGCATGCAGTGATGTGCTTTATACCAGAGCATAGAAATTGATTTATTTTGCTGGTGCTGAGTACAGATGCTATCTCTAACGTTTTAAATGAGGAAGTAGTCTGTCTTCTGTCCAAACCCAGAACTGCTTACTGCAGCCTTCCCTGTCTGTCCTCCCCTGTCCTCTGCCCTCCCAGTTCTGAAATCTGAACTACCTGGGGCATACATGGAGCTAGCCTTGAAAGGTTTTTAAGAACATTCAATGTAGTGAAAAATACTTCAAAGTATTTTTCATAGTGGGACATGTGAAAGTTAATATTAACAAAAACTAAACTGTAGGATTTGTTGTGAAGGTGCCTTTCTACCATGAAAGTCAAATAAATTATTTATTCTTTATAGGATGTGGGATTATTATTTTTTCTTGAAATCTATTCAATGTTAATGTAGTTTCTATAATTTTGGTTCTTAATTTGCATTAATAAAACATACAGTGCCATGCATTTATAAGATTGTTGTGTTTTGAAATAAGTTCCAAAACCAGATCTTTTAATTTTTTTTTTTTTTTTTTTACTTGGACTCTGCATGAGCATCCACATTCATCTGTTGTGCTGTGCAGTCCATGCCTCTAACCAAGCTCCTGGCTGGTGTGGGCAGGGGAAGATGTCCAGTGAGCAACTGCAGGGTGCCACATTCAGCCAATTGGCATGTCTGGGAGGGGAAATGCATTTGTTGGGAATTCAGCTCTTGAGCAATTCCTTTACCTGGGCCAGCCTCTAAAAGGACATTGCAGAATCAGACAGGTAGAAGATGCAACAAGCTGTAAGGGTAAAGGCAGAATGATAGTATTCCATCCTGGAAAACTTATTTCCATAAGTTTTTGGTCCATGTGTTGTGGGTTGGGTTTTTTTCCCTTTTGAGATATTTGGGTTTTCTTGGGGAGGGGTTGGGTTGGTTTTGTTTTTAATTATTTTGTAGTTAAAACCTACTTACTATCTTCATCTTCATTAGACAGTAAATATGATCCCAGGTTTAGTTTTATCTAAGCCATTTTAGCTGAACTGTGCTCAGTTCAAACAGCCACAGTGCAAAAGAACTTGGAATTCCCTTTGGCTGACAAGACCCTGAAGCATCTGTTCATAAAAATCAAGGCAGTGTAACTTGTACCTCTGTTTGAAACATGACATGATACATTTCTGTGTCAGATACAATTTTCAAGGGTTTGAGAGGTTCCTAGTATCGGTGCTCTTTAATACTTCATATTCTTTATCACAGAATGTTCTTTCTACTTCTAATCTTTGATACTTGATAAAAGTAACCCTCTGCTGAGTAATTTGAGAGTACAGTTTGCTTAAAGATGGTCTTGCTGCTGGTGCCAAGCAAATGTCAGAGCAAAGGCTGAAAGACACATCAGTGATAAAAGAGGGCATCATAATTTCCTAGGATTTTATTTAAGTCAGAGCCCATCCAATACGTTACTTTCTAATATAAATGTTGAATCAAGTCTGAGAGTGTTGTCAAAAAATCTTGAATTCACTCCAATACTTTCTTAATTATATCAAGAAGAAATCTGAAAATTGCATTTGGGTTTGTTTAACTTGCCTTTTCAGAGTGTTTGTAGAAGGCTGTAAACTGCTCTATGCTTCCCTGTAATTTTTGCTATTCACACTGTAAAACTAAAGTTTTGCTATTCATACTGTATTCTGGATTTTTTACTCCCTCTGCCTGCTGGAAGGAGAAAGCAGCTCTCCAGACTAATGGAAACACTGAGGTAGCACAGCCATTGCAGGTTGTGCAGTCTGTGCTTGCCAGGGTGGTGTATTGGAGCCCTGGCTGGCTGGCTGGGTCAGCTTGGCTCCTCTGGCCATTGTGAGCTGTGGCTCAGGGCTGGACTGATTCCTGGAGCCTTTGGGAGCCTATGGGGTTTGCTGGGCTGTGCAGGGCTGTGCTGCAGCTCTGCATGGCCTGGCCATGGGCCCCCCACTTGCTCCAGTGCACAGGAGAGTTGGCTGGGATGGGCTGAGGAGGAGCTGCATTCAGGAATCCTCACCGGTGCAGGACATGTCCAGTGTCCTGCAGAGCTGTGCCAGCATTCTTGGATCTGGCAGTGCCCAGCTGGACTGGCATTGGACTGCCTCAGGTTTGTAAAGCTCACTGACTTCAGCATCAGTGTCACTTTTAGGATGGGTAACTTACAGGATGAAGCACACCCCGAAAGCTGGGTCAGCATTTTTGTGACACTCTTCTGGACCTAGTTCTGATGGGCTATTTTGCAAATCACTCACGAAATAATGCTTTGTGAGTATCACACAGGTCCTGTATTATCAAAAGTATGTGGCTGTAGTGAAACCTCACTAAGAAGTTTGCTATTTTTAAGGTTCATTTGAACTGAATGTTTTATAAGGTTATGTTGCAATTTAAAGTAAAACCTGAACAATGTCACTAGCAGACTCAGTATATGACTGTATACTATATAATAGCCAGTATTCTTTTACTTATTAAAGGTTATGCTTACTTTTTTTCTTTCTACCTTTTCTTCTTTTTTTTTTTTTTTTTTAATTTTTTTCCTTTTTTTTTTCTTTTTTTCTTTTTTTCTTTTTTTCTTTTAATATAGATTTGAGTATCCTAAGTCAAAATGCTTCAGCAGAGAGAGCCAGAAATATTCTAGCTGTGGAGACTTCTCCTACAGATCTGGTGGGGGAGCAAGCAGCTTCCCAGCCTGCACCAGTCCAAGCAAGTGCCATCAATTTCTCACTTAAACAATGGAGTACTGAGATCAAGTAAGTTGTGAACCTGGGAGAAAGAGTTACCATGCACAATTGGCAGTTTCCTGGCCAAGGCTATTTCCTACATCATCAGTATGTAGTCCATGGATCTTCTTAGAATGATGGGAGGTGATATGGTGGATTTATTAGTTGTATCTCTTCAAGTAAACTGTTTCTTTACTCTGTTTACTGTTTGAAGGTCTAAGGGAACATTATTGCACAGCATCACTGATACCTGAAAGGGAGACTCAAGTCTTGTACAGCACTTCCAGTGATGGCTTTGCTCTCTGAACCCCAGCAGTTGTTGAGTTGTTGAGGCTGAGTTGTATTCTCAGCTTTTTCATGGAGCTGCCAATTCCCAGCATTATAGGAGTCACAGTACTCAGTGCACAGGAACTACTTTCAGTGATGAAAATCAAACCAATATAAATCCTTACATTTTGTTTTCTTCTTAAAAGAATTGAAAGCACAGGGCACAGATTTGAAGTGGATGCAGCTTGAATTTCAGAGCAAAAATGTGGCAGATCCCTTGTGAACATCATCAAAACCCCTCACTCATAATTAATTTACTTTGTAGTATTAATTGCTTTAAGGAAAGCAGTCCCATTGGTTTTCAGCTCTCCTGTTGCATTTCTTTCTAAAGAGTTTTTTGCTTTGCCCACATAGATGGATTTTCCACTTCTGCTTAAAGCATTTTACAATACTAGTACAGAGCAGCTTACAAAGCAGAGCTGCAGCTTTGGTTAACCAGACCACATCCTTTGTGAGCTGGGAGGAAAATGTTCATTTTCATCAGCAGAGCCAAGTTAAACAGATCCCTTTTAAAGCTTTCTGGTTTAGCACAGAGATCTGAGAGGTTACCAGATGTTGGTTTTGACTTTTTTTCTGGTTGTGGTTTTTTTTTTTTCCTAGTGTTGTGGTTGTTTCCCTCCCTTCTCCAGGAACCCAGCAGTTCCATGCTGTTTGGGACAGGGGGATGATCTGACAGCCTTTGGAATATGTATGCCCTATCCAGTGTCTTACTGGAGTGTGATTACAGCTCCAATGTTAGAGGAAGGATCAATGTGTGTCTAAAACTGCAGAGTTTCCTCTCTTGCTGCAAGCACTTTTTTTTTTAATATTTATTTATTTGTATTAAGGTATGTAGATGTCTCAAAGCCTTGTCTCCTGTACACACAGACTGTGTACACTGTCTGTGTCTGACAGAGATTATTATTGCTATAATAGCTGTAAATAAATCCACAATTAGGTTTGATTTTTTTTTTTTTTAATTTTTTTTTTAATTTTCTTGCTCTCAGCTACTTATTTATACAGAATATAGATCTGGAAACATACTGAATTACAGGAACCTCCATTTTATGTAACCATAAAATAAGACTTAAACCACAAATATTTAGAAATAGAGACTCATTAAATCATATGATTGGCTCTTGTGTAGGTTGTCCAATTGTACTTAGGAAAATAAATACTGCTTTCAAATTTATCTATTTAATCTTTCATCTTATTTTAATCTAATAGAAAGCAATGAAGGACTTCTACTTAAGTGCCCTGAACAAACCTGAGTTACAAAATTCAGAATCAGCTATGATTTTTCATGGGCCTAACAGCAGCTCTTTAAAGGTTTTCTGGAAGTCACTTGACTTGTTCTTCATGGTTTTTTCAAGCTTTAGAAGGTGCTGTTCAGGATTTTAACTGTTGAGGCTGAGTGAGTGCAGAACAGGCAGTTTGGAGTTGGTAAGAGATCAGCCATCATTTGGAGAAGAGATGCAGAGATGCCAGGGGACATTTCCTGAGACACTCAGTGATATTGGGTGCTCAATCCATCCTCAGGAAATACATCCATCATTGCCCAATTTGATCTCCTTAATTTGTGTGGAACATCTGAACAAAGAAATTAGGCTTGTTGCCCCCAACAGGAATTGTGATTCTTTCTGGAAGAGAATTAAATCTGTAGCATAAATGAGTCTTTGCCAAGCTTGTAAATTGATTGGTGAAATAGTTTTATTAATAACCATTAGGATTATTTTTAAATTGTAAATGTTTATCAGTTCATCAGATTATAAAAGTTGTGTACTGCTGAATGATTCGCTTAGAGTTCATGTTGATAAGATGATAAATCTCTTGGGAAGCTGAAAGACTGGCTTGTGTTGTGGTGTGTTTTGTTATTTTGGATTCTGTTATATAAATGGTCTGTTCTGATTCTCCTCCTCATATTTTCCATTTCCCCAAACTGGATTATTCCCAAGTTATGTTCCTCCCCTTTACCTCTCAATCATTGTAATCTCCACCCTGCATTCCAGTGCCTTCCCTAGCCATCATTGTAAACCCTGCCCATTGTTCTGGATCCTTCCTTGTCACTCCCTTGTTAGCCCAACCCATTGCAGTACCTCCCCTCTGGAAATCCCCTAATACTGGATACCCCTGTTGGCCCATGTGACCTTCCCCCTTTTCCCCATTGGTACCTCAATTGTAATCCCCTCCCTTCACTCCTCCCTCACAGGTTTCCTATTGGTTGGCTTTTTGTATCCACCCCTTGAACTCCCCCATATAAAAACCCCGGTACACCCCTGTTCAGCACTCCTTGGTCCCTGACCCCTTTATGGGATAAAGTGGTCCATAGAATCCATGCCAAGAGCCTCCCTCTCATCCTTCACCTCCTCCTTGTGCTGACACCAAAAGCGCTGTAGAGCAGCAGCTCTGAGGTTCAGCTCTTAACCCTCAGGTCAGGAGCTGCTCCCTACTTTTGGCATGGTGCCGTGGTGAGAGCTAGCCAGGACTCCAGCACCACATCAAGCTTGGATTTTCAAATGATCTTGAAAGTGTAATATGGATTATTTTCTGCTTAAGTTTTGAAGAAAGGATGTGGATGATTGAGTGAAAACATCTTTGTAAACTTGCATAAACCATGTGGAAAATGCTGAGATACTAAATACATTTCCAGTTTTACACCTAAATATTAAACTGATTCATATGGGTTGATTTGGAATGTCCTCGTGCAGTTGAACAAAGGCTTTGCAATACTGAGCTATGTTAATACTCATGGATGTAAGAGTGGACATTGATTCCTGAGTGTGTGATGGTTGTGGGGGAGCTGGGTGAGGTAATCTCATCCCGCTGGGAAATGTATTGTGCTCCTAGAGGATTATCTGGCTGGAATTAAGGGGATGCCCCTGAAATGTTCTTGCAGATAGTTGGCCGTGTTCCACGGTAGAAAAGGAAAACTGCAAAGGAGTCTTGTCATCAGCATTTCAGCTGCAGCAGGTCTCTTGGATGATCCCAAGTTTTCCATTAATCCCCAATAAGGAACTATAACATACATGTGTTTTGACTGCATGTGTTCAGTTTAATGCTTGGCAGTTACCCTAAAATTCTAAACTACAACTGATCAATAAAGAGATGCTGCTTGTAAATCCTAACTTTGTTTTGTACTTGCCTGCTGCAAAAACAAGGCTAAAACGGGGATGCAAAAGACCATGGCATTAAAGCAAAATAATTCTTTAGTTCTTGAAATTTAGCACTGTTGATTGCAAGTGCTACTTGGTAGCATATGCCTTATTTTCTTTGAGCTTTTATTTGGTATTGGTTTTGTCTGTGTTTTTAGCTTATTTTTAGTTTGCACTGTTTGAACTGTGAAGAGCCCCTTATGAAAAGAATGCAAAATAGAGAAATTATTTGCCACTTTTTCCTGCTGCCTTTTTCATAGAAATTCCATGTCCTCCTTAAGAAAAGGAAGTAATGAAAATCGCAAGAGTGTATTTTATACCACTGAGGAGTGGGAACTGCTGGATCCAACCCCAAAAGACCTGGAGGACTCAATGGCTCTGGAAGAAAAGAGGAAACATCTGGCAGAAGGAAATAAAGGTAGAAGTGGAGGAAGGAAGGGAATCATATGCCTTACCTTGTTTAGCATAGAGTACTGTGTTATGTCTGTCTCTGGGAAATAAGTGGAAGCTTATCTTTTTCTTCACAAACCACATCCACAGCTCTGTAAACTATTTTTTAAAAAAGCAATTCCTTATGATGTGTTTGGGGTCCCCTGCCATTCAAATACAATAGAATAAAGACAAAGCCTTGTTATCCACTGTTTTGGATTTCCTGAGCGTGCTACTGCTTTGGTTTGTCACATCAGTTGCAAAGTAACAAGGCAAAGGGAAATGCTGATGTTTGTAATTACTCACTTGAGTGTCACCCACTGGAGCAGAATTGTCTTTAGGCTCTGTGTCTTTAGACTCTGTGTACCTGTTACATTGGCTTGCTTCTGAAAGGGGGTAGAAGCAGGGATGGACATGAAGCAATAGCTCATCTGTGTATTTGAACAGTTCTCAGATTTGACCAGTGTCTGGAATAAACTTGTCAAGATGTTTTTACACCTCTTTAAGAGCACTTTAGGTGACATCCAAGTGATTTAATCTGTTAGAAAACATCCTGTTCATGGAGGTGAAGCCTTACATTGAATCCACTTACAGGAGCAGTAGGCTGTGCTATCTGAGATGGTTTTGCTCTGATTATTTGAAGTGAAATTTACTTCGCCATAGTTAGGGGTACCTTTTATTTTCTGTAATGAATTGTAAAATTATTTTCATGTCTTATGTGAAAAGTGATAATTTATGAACCAAATCTTTTATCTGGGAGGGGAGAAGATTTGGAGCTTTTTGTTTTCCCCACCAAGGGAAGCCACTTGGAAAATGAGGCATGTTTAACACTATTGTATTGAGTGGTTGGAAAACTGCTCAAAGTCTAATGTTAATGAGTATATTTTTAGAGGAAATATGATTGCTTTGACATGCCTTTTTACTAAGTGAACAGAACTAGAAGAAATTGTTTTATGCAGGACTGACTAGTTCAGCTTTTCCATTTGATTTTGGCCGTGTTCCACACAAAGCAAGGCGCCCGTTGAAAGATATGATTGCATCAAGCAAAAACCGCAACAGCAGTGACTCTTCCCTAACAGACTGGTGTTCTGGCAGTGGGAACAGACTGGTCTCTGAACTGCAACTGAAGTATCAAAGCCAGCAGGAAGAGTTGGAGAAGCTAAAGAAAGATCTTTTGAGCCAAAAGGTAATTAAACCTTCAGGCAAAGAGCACAAAAGCAAATGAGTCTGGAAGTGATTGTGAGTTTAACCTTTCTGGCCATCTCACTACATTAAGACTTGGTTGGTTGTTATAAAATGATCTTCTTTCAGATTCTCTCTGTCTTTTGATTCTTTCAGTGCTAGTGCAATGGGTGGGAAATAGACTTTCTTTCTCTCCTTGGGAGGGGTTTTGTAAGATAGGCCTAACCATAATGTGTGTATGTAGACTGCACTCACATGGTGGTCATGCTTATGTGCCCTCAAAACTCCAATTTATTCAATACCTTGGTTTGATCTAAAATAACTTCTACTCATTTTAAGAAGAAAAATGTTTTAGATCTTATGTGGAGCTGCTTCAGCTATTTGTATTTTCTGTTGTGTGAGGTGATTAAAGGGAAACCAAATAAGTCTGAGCCCCATAATTATATTTATTTTAGACATTATGTTTCCTAGGAGTACCTTTGAGCTTCTGAGCCTGCTGTTGTGAGAAATCTCATTGGTCTAGTGCAACACTCCATTCACAGCTGCTTCTGTTTTAATAATAAGGGGGGGGGGGAAAAAAAAGGGTGTCTTAGGGTAGTCATTTGTGTGGCAAGATTTTCTAAACAACCTTTCAAAGACTTCCTTTTTGGCAAAGCAGCATTTATTTTTTACCTCCTTTTATTTTTCCTGCATCCATTAGAGCTCTTAGTTACCTTTGCTTTTTCCATTCTGTAACGTTTTCCTGTTGACTTTTTGGGCTTAAGCCTCTTCCTACTCATCCTACAACAGGACTGCTTGCAAGCCAGGTTTTTTTTCAGCTTCCAAGTAACTGCAGGGCCTCAGCTGTCTCCTCCTTTTCCTTAACCTGTTGTAGCCATTTCAGGCAGGATTTTTAGCTCAGTGAAGGACACTGAAGCAGTCTATGTAGGCCAGTCATTGTAAGGCGTTAGCCTGCTAGGAATCGTGTTGTAAAGCATTTCCTTTTCTCTTTAAACACCATCATGAGGTCTCAACCCATTCCAAAAACTATTTTTCTTGATTGTTAGATCTCTAAGCTACAAAATTTTTAAACTTAAAATTTCATTGGGTGCTTTTGCTGTTCTTTTTATTTCTCAGGAACTTGTTCGACTTCTGCAGCAAACAGTCCGATCTTCCCAATATGATAAATACTTTGCAAGCCACCTTTGTGAGGGGGTTCCCAAAGATACATTAGAGCTGTTGCACCAAAAAGATGACCAGATTTTGGGCCTCAACAATCAGCTTGAAAAGTTAAATCTGGAAAAAGATAGTCTCCAGCAGGAAGTCAAGAGTCTGAAGTGTAAGGTTGGAGAACTCAATGAACAGCTGGGAATGTTGATGGAAACTATTCAAGCTAAAGATGAGGTCATCATGAAGCTCTCTCGTCAACTCAGTGAATGTGAGGACAGCACATCCTCTCAAAGTGGAGCAATAAACTCCCCCACAGCCACCAGTACTAATAAGGAGCTACAGGAACTGGACAGACTAAAAGTAAGAGTACTGTCTTTGTCTTGATGCATAGGGGAATCTCTTCTCGCTGTAAAAATCCTTCTTAGTCTGCTGTACTGTTTGAGATCACTACAGCAGTCCCCAGTACACTCATCATTGGAGGCTTTCTCAGCTTGGAAGCTCCACTTGGAGATGTTATGTGACAATCCAACCAGATCTTCCTTCCTTTGGGCCATCTCTAGTGTGGGGTCCTATAGTTTCAGTAAATTAATCATTGGTGTGGAACAGAGGTGATGTGAGAAATAATCAAAGGAGCAGGAAGGATTAAGGGTAAGAGGAAGATATAAGCATGGAGGAAAACAAACAGCTTGGTTTGTTTTTTATTATTTTAAATATCAAAAGTGAGGCAATATGAAAATATGAGCATGTGAAAAAATGAAGGGAAGCTCTGAGGAAACAAAACAAGAGGGAGGAGTATAAGAATCCGTTTTACTAAAGCGGCTACAGCTGCTACTGATGCTTTATTTTTATTCTTTAGCATACCTCTCTGAATGTGTCACAAGTTCTTAATGGAGTTACTGAAATTATCCACTTTGCTCTAAACAGGCTTTCTTGCCTTTGGGTAAATATTGTATTTCAAATTGATTAACATTCCAAAGAATTTGGAATATAAATAAGTTCCTTAAAATATACGTAAATATACATAACTTTTTCTTACATGTGAGCCTGGTAAATTTTAAAAAATAAAGTTGAAACTAGAAGTCAGTGGTCTTGGCAGAAAGCAGACAGAGCTTGTAGATGCTGGGGAGTGTGAGAGTCCTGTGGCTGCTGGGAGGATACCTGGTGCCTTACCAGGCTCATCTTTCAGAGGCAGTGTTTCTAGCCAGGATCTGAGTGAATTAGGCAGGGAAGTTCATTCATAAGGATTTATGTTTCTATATGGAGGCAGACATGAGACTTGTAATGAGGGCTGGTGAGGGTAGTGAAAACTCAAGGGGAATTCATCCTGCCTTTTTTGTGTTGCTGTGGCTTCTGGAATGGGCTCAGCCTGTTCTCTCTGCCTTTCTTCTGACAGCAGCCAGCTGCCTTCCTCAGGCAGTGGAATACTGGGAGGGATGCAGGTGAAGCACTGCACCACCCTGTGCTCCTATTTGGCATTTGTGTTTCCTTTACATGAAGCCCAAAAATAACATTTGATTTGAGCATGATATTTTTAATTGTAAGTCCTATTAGTAGCTGCTGTTTCTGTCTCTAAGGAGATCTTTGACTGACAGGCATAATCCACTTTGTTTGTTTGTTTGTTTTTTGCCAACAGGACAATCTTCAGGGTTATAAGACCCAGAATAAATTTTTAAATAAGGAGATTTTGGAACTTTCTGCTCTACGAAGAAATGCAGAAGCGAGAGAGAGAGAGTGGCAGGCAAAGGTCAGCATGTTCTCACTTAGCAATGTCTAAAGCAGTTTTCCATACTTTAGCTGTAAATCTACCCAGTAAATGGAACAATTTAAATGTATTAAATATGATAGCTTAAAAAAAAAATGTCCTCTCAGTCCTTATAGACCAATCTTTTTGAATGGATTCTTGAAAGAAGTAATTGCTTTTAAAATTGTGTGACCTGGTGGAACATTTTCGTAACTTATGAACAAAGGTATGTACATGTCTGAAAACATTTGTTTCCTCAAAATTTAGGCTATAAGGATTTTTTTTTTTATAGGTCAGTGACAGGATGTGTAAGGATTTGATAGGTCAGTGAGTAGAGCTTTCTCCTGAGCACAAAGGATGACTGTGGTATGGTGAATGTAATTTCTGTTTGGGTGAATTTGAGTGTAGAGATGTTGCAGGTAAAGAGTAAAGATTTCCAGTGCTTGGGGTTAGGGAAAATGTACTCATCTGTAACTAAGGTTAGATACCTGTAGCTGTGGTTTGGTAGGCTTTGCTTGTGTTTTTTTGGAAGCCATGGACTCAGTGACCAGGCTTAAATGCTGTATTTTTGGCACTTTCTCAGATTTTCCATATGCAAAACCACTTGTGGTAGAAAACATCTGGTCTTCTATGCTGCTGTATGTTTCCTGGTGTTAAAGAAATGGGAAAGTTAAGCTGGCTGTTCTTGACTTAGATGTTTCTAAGCAGCATAAACCAATAAAATAGCATTGAGCCAGATTTTAAAAGAAATGTAGTACAAAGTAAGTGTCTGAAGATTTATATAATACATTGTTTTCTGCAGTATACCAGCTTAGAAGCCAAACTCTGCCAGATTGAAAGTAAATACTTGATCTTGCTTCAAGAAATGAAAACTCCTGTTTGTTCTGAGGATCAAAGTCCTGCTCGTGAGGTCATCACACAGTTACTGGAAGATGCCTTGAAAGCAGAATCTAGTGAACAACCAGAACAAGCATTTTTCAAACCCCACCTGGTCAGGTAGTTTGGTCCTATTAAATTAAATGTATTTGTGTCTTGGCCAGTGGGCTCTATTATAACACTGGAAAATAGACAGTGAAGATATATTTGCAGGTTTGGGTTATTTATTGTATTTCCCTTCATTAATGAGGGAACAGTCATGAAATTCATGATTATAATTTAATAATTTTAGCTGTATAAATACATTGTGTTGGGGAATACATCTGCTGCAGGTTGAGATGCAGATTGAGCTCTGGGTGGTCTCATCTGGAAGATAAGGGGCCATGAACTGCCAATTCTTTACATAACAAAAAGCACAAGGCCTGGTGGCACCAGCCAGGTGAGGGGCACTGGGAGACACAGCAAGGACTCAGGAGGGAGGAGCAAGACTTGGAAGGCCTGGACTGTGAGGGGATAAAAGTCACAGGGTTCCTTTGTTGAGGATGTTTCGTGGAACCAGCCTGGGCTGTGTGTGCACCTTGAATAAAGTGTTTTGTGGAGACTGAGACTCTGCCAAGGGAAGCCTGGGGTGGAGAGCTGTGAGGAAACCTGGCCTGGGTGTGCAGGAGTCTTAAGTGGGGACCGTCAGGGGGGCTTTGGCCCCAGCAGTGACAGTCTCTGTTGAGAGTGTGGCTGCCAGGGAGTCTTGGGAAAGGTCACACTGGGAAGTTTAACTGACACATTTATTCATTAATTGAGATACAGTATCAAACTTAGATGAAGGTTTTGCTGTACAGTTGCTGAAGGTGAGCTGCTGAGGGGATGGGTGCATTTCAACTCAACCATGTTGTTAAATAAATTGCTTAATTTGTGTAGTAATATATATAAGAACATGGGCACCAAGTCTTTTGTATATGGAATTGTACAAGTAACTGTTAAATGAAGAATATACTTCCAAAAAATGTTTAATAAGAAGAACCTGAGAGCTATGGAGAGTGGCTTTGAAGTAACTTTATGGTGGGAACTTGAGAGCTTCAGGGCTACTGAACATGTTTTTAAAACCTTTTTTCTTCCTCTCCATTTCAGTGAATATGATATATATGGTTTTCAGACCGTCCCTGAGGATGATGATGAGGAGAAACTAGTAGCAAAATCACGAGCTTTGGACTTGAGATCACTTTCACTCAGTGAAAATCGAGAAATCTCCACAGGAGTGAAATGGGAAAACTATTTTGCAAGCACAATGAATAGAGAGATGATATGCTGTGTGGAACTGAAGAACCTTATTCGGGCTGGAATTCCGCATGAACACCGTTCCAAGATGTGGAAATGGTGTGTCAATCTCCATGTTAAAAAGTTCAAAGACAGTGCCATTCCTGGCTACTTCCAAACCTTGCTTCAAAAAGCTCTGGAAAAACCAAATCCTGCATCTAAACAGATTGAGTTGGATCTCTTGAGGACTTTGCCAAACAACAAACATTACTCCTCCCCAACGTCTGAAGGGATCCAGAAGCTGCGAAATGTGCTGCTGGCATTTTCCTGGAGAAATCCTGATATAGGATATTGCCAAGGGCTCAACAGGTAAGATTTTGCCAATCTTGGGTAATAACTGAGCCTTTCAAATCACATGTATAGCAGCACAGTTTCGAACAGCAGTTTGCCTTATGGGTTGTATGCTCATAATTTATGATAAACAAATAACTATCACATTTTTTAAACCAGTGAAAAAAGCAATTGACCTGGGTAATAAATTTTCTTCTTTTAAAACAAGCAGAAAAGAATTGCTTGAAGGCTTTTTTTGTATTGTTAAGGCAACAAATCTCAGCATTTTTCACTGATGTCTTCAATCAGAATTTCAGAATTTAAAGGGGATTCTTGTGTTACAATGCTAAGAAGAATTCTGATTCATTGCAGTTGGCCTTTGCCAGAATAGCTTTACTACTTGGAGATCTGTAGTAAAAGAAGGTGCTACTTGAAGCAGGTGTGTTGGTCTAACACCCTGTCTCATCCCCATGATGTAATGCTATAGATGTCCATTTGTGCACTGTTTTATGTGCCAGAATAGACTTCTGAACTTAGACCAGGTTTGTCATTTGAAATAGCACTGAAGAAACAATAGAACAGAAGCAGTGAGTAATGTAGTAGATGTGGTGAGGTGGTGGTAGTAGCAGTAGTAGTAATGTGGGAACTTCCACCTAACACCCTTAGAATAAACATCTCCTTTCTATACTAGACTCTGTGTTCAAGAGCTCTTAAAATTGGAAACACCAACACTTCAAGAAATTTTTAGAGCAAGTTTTTGCCTTTTTCTGTCTTCTGAATAAAAATACTTGCTGTGGCTGAGAAGGCATGGCTTTGCCCCATCTTAAACTTCATTAAGTTTTGCTGTTCAGTGCTCTGCTGTTAATACATTTATCTCTGCTGAACAGAAACAAATATTTCACTCTAATGTTTAATGATATTTATTTGTGATACTGTAATAATCTTCTCCAAATAAACCCTGTTTTTAGGTTGGTAGCAATTGCACTTCTGTACTTGGAACAGGAAGATGCTTTTTGGTGTCTAGTAACAATAGTGGAAGTTTTCATGCCCCGTGATTATTATACGAAGACGCTGCTGGGATCCCAGGTATGTGCTCTGCTGGGATAAAGGCTGGTCATGTAAACTGCAGCCAGTCAAAAGCTTTCCTCTGCAACTGTCTGATAGGGCTCCTTGGAAGGGGGTGGGAGTGGAATTGACAGGTGTGGGTTCCAGGCACCAGGACTCTTGTTTGGACAAGGACTTTAACAGTGAGATAGTTGTTCAGTTGTCCTGCTTGGAGCTGCAGTCCTTAACCCCTCTTCTTATTGATAGCTTCCCAACCCTGAGCTGTGTTATCATTGTTTTCCTCACATCTGGGGCATGGTGGTGCTGGACTCTGGGGAAGGGCAGGGTGAGAATGCATTTACAGTGCTACGGGCAGTAGTCACTGTAGGATTCCTGCTTCCAGGCGATGCTCTGGTCCAGGCTGCCTCCTCTAGCCAAGTGTTTCCCCAGCATGTTCTCTGCTCCTGTGCTCTTGCACCAGTGCAGCACTGGTGACCAGTACTAGAAACAGTCCCCCTGTGTGTGAGGAGCCCTGTGAGACTGGAGCTGGGTTTAGAAGGAGACGGGGAAATGTGCAGTGGGGTAGCTGTGTGTGCTTTGGGTGGATCTAGCTTGGAAGTGTGAACTAGACATTCCTGGGTTTCCTGGTTACTTCTGGAAAAACTTGCTCTTATAGATTGGTAACAGCCTTGCTCTAAATGATATGCTGGAAAATTTGAACAATAACACCCTATTTGTCATCTCTTTAGGTTGATCAGCGAGTGTTTAAGGATTTATTGAGTGAAAAGCTTCCACGACTACATGCTCATTTTGAACAATATAAAGTTGATTATACTCTCATCACTTTCAACTGGTTTCTTGTGGTTTTTGTGGACAGTGTTGTTAGTGACATCCTTTTCAAAATCTGGGACTCCTTCCTCTATGAGGGACCAAAGGTGAACTGAATGGGCTGATTTGTTAATTTGTTACCTGATAACAAAGTTCTGTGGTGTTACCAAGTGCAGGGTTAAAGAAAGGTTGTTTGCAAAACTCCTGTCAGTTAAAATGACTGGTAGGAAAAAAAAACAAGGGAGGAGCTGTGCATAAATAACCATTCAAAACATTTTCCAGCTTTTGGAAATAGGGGCTGGGGCAGGGAAGGTAGGTAGAGGGAGATGTGATGAGAGGGCTCAAGTGCAGCCTGTGCATGAGGAACTCTTGCTGGGAGTTTATAAAGATGATAATGAGCCTCAGTGTATTCTGTACCTACAAAGCACTAAATATTGTATGTGTTTTTATCAGGTAATATTCCGATTTGCCCTGGCACTATTTAAATACAAAGAGGAGGAAATCTTAAAACTGCAAGATTCAATGTCTATTTTCAAGTACCTTCGCTATTTCACACGCACCATCCTTGATGCCAGGTGGGTAACTCACACTGGGGTGGCACTGAAGGACTTTTAGTGGGCCATGGGAGATGTCTGTCTTGTGGCTTTGGTGTTGTTTTCATCTAGATCCTAATTCAGGCATAAAGCAACTAGAGATGCAGCCAACTGCTAGGATTTGTCATGAGCACTTTTATCTAGCAGAGACAAATCAGAAGTGATGTAGGCTTAAACAGTAATTTTTGTGAGTGAATGAGATTACCTTGTTTAGGTGTTGTATCATGGTAGCAACACATCTGAATTTTAACCATAGGTGAAGTTTTTCCTCTGCATTGCAGATGTAACTTGTTAGTAAAATATTTTATGATAAATAAAAGTACATCCTGGCTCAAGCATTAAAGATGTGAGCTGTGTCCCCCACGACTTAGATCCCTTATGCATGGTTAATGCACAGGCTCCTGCCACATAGTTCCAGCTGATTTTAAGATAAACTTGGAAGCAGAGAATAAATACAAATTAGATACTTTTCTGGTCTTCAGTCTTTGTGAAGGACTTACAGTTGGTAAATTAGGGTCTAGTGTATTTTTAGATTCCTGGTTTCAAGACTGTAGAGCAGCAGGTTAATCTTAAAAAGAAAAGTCATATTGGGATTGGTTTAATGTCTGAAAATGTATTGCACATCTTTTGAAGCTTGCTAATTTTCAATTTAGAGCAAAATTATATATTGAAACATGAGCTGTTTCTTTTTAGGGTAATAAACTCCACGTCAGTTTAGGCCTAGACTTTGACTCCTGCTGCTAGAGCTTTATCATTTTTACTGACAGTGTTTTAGTTTCAACTGGAGAGAAGTTAAGGCTGAATAATCTTGTGCTTGAAAGGGATTGCTGGGATTGATGCAGAGAGAAAAAAATCAATTTTTTTTTCCTTACCCAGTTCAAACAAAATTTTGATAATTATTCAGAGGTGAAGATTAGGCTTTCCATTCTTTTTCCACCTATGGAAATGGTATCTTGATTCTCCTGTCTAAACTTTCTGGTGCTGAAATAACCTATTTTAAAGATTTCTAAAACTGCTGAATTTGGTGTTAACAAAATGAACTAATGAGGGATCATTGGGAAATGGGGAGTTCAAGTGAGGACAGAATTCAGTACATCAAGGATGCTTGGAATACAGATATGCTCTGTGCTGATCTGTAAGTCTCTGCCTTTTGGGGGTTTAAGAGTGGAAGCAGAGCAGTGCCACCTAGAGAATATGGATTTGCCTTCTAGGACTGACAGGACATGATTCAAACTGCTCGACTTCTTATTGTGCTGTGTTTGTACCAGTTTTATATCATCATCATTTGAGCAGTACCGAAGCACGTAGGATGAGTTCTTTCTTGATATGGACAAAAAATAATCCTGTTGTAGAGGGAAAATTCAGAAATATTTATTAGATTAGAATTCATGGATGTTCTGAATGGGTTAAAATCATTCTGCACGGAGTTTATGTTCAAACTCTGTAATAAGAGAAAGGTCTCTACAGGCACATGCAAAATTATATTCTAGTTATAGGATGTCATAGCTGGGTTTTTTTACAGAGCCATGGCATGTTGTGTGCAGGTAGAGAAGCTGCTGGAATATGTTCTGTGTAGAAATAACAGGAAATCATTCCTTGATCACTCAAAAATACAAACCTACAATTAAATAAACTGTCCAAAGAAGTTTTCTTAATATTTATTTCTGATAATTCAAATAGAATAAATTAAATATTCCAGTTCCCCTTTTTCCTTAGTAAACAATGAGATGTTTTTGGGTGTAGATCAGCAATAATGATGTAGTTGAATGCAGTCTTTTTGGACTGATTAGACTGACCAGTTGCTGGGTTTGCTGGGACCGCAGGAGGATATGATGCAGTGTGACTCTGGAAGGGGGCTGGATCCTCTGTGGTGCAATTGTGCCCTGGCAGGTTTGGCTTGACACTGGCCCAGAGGTCTCTGTGCTGCAGGTAGCAGAACCCCAGAACATTCTCACTGTGTTGGAAACTCTGCCTTGTCCGTGTTCTGCTTTATCCTTGTCCACATTTGTGTTGTCCCTGGCTTTATCTGGTCTCTTAATTGTCAGGTTATCTTGATTAACTGGAGGGCTGAGTGGCTTGGGATTGAAGGAGCTGCAGAGGGTTCTGTGGAGGAAGTTATCAGATCTGTAACGGGTAACTGGATGTACTGAGCATTCAGTGTAGCCCAGGAAGCTCTGATAGCCAAGCTTTTGTCTCCTGCTCAGCATTTCAAGGTGGTGATCTCTAGAGCAGAGTTTACAAGTGGCTTGGGGAAACTCTTGAGCATTTGATTACACTTTATCACTTGAAATAACCTTAAACCTGAATGCTTTATCGAAATTTCTTGAAATATTGATAGCATCTGAGACCTGTCAAGTGTGAAAGAGACCAGAGATATGTGACATACGATAGAAGTCAATATGGATGAAGTTTAAAACTGATTTAAAAGCCCACCAAATATGAATTATTGTCTCCTACCATTGTGTAATCTTGCAGGAAACTGACTGCTATTGCTTTTGGAGACCTGAATCCTTTTCCATTACGCCAGATCAGGAATCGCAGGGCATATCACCTGGAGAAAGTGCGCCTGGAGCTGACGGAGCTGGAAGCCATTCGCGAGGACTTCCTGCGCGAGAGAGAGACCTGCGTAGAAAAAAGAGACCTTATTAGTGATGATGAGGAGGACAGCTGAAACTGCTTAATAGAAACTGTTCCTTGGGATCATGACCAAAGTGAGATAACCTCCAAAACACTTTATTAATCCTGTCAAACAGAATGTAAATTCATTGCATTTGGAAATATGCAGGACAGATTTTCAAATCCCAGGACTTTCAGAAATACCACTTTGTATGGAGGCCAAATAATTCTGTTTACATTTATGTTCATGGAGTCATTTGTAGAGCACTTAATATCTGTCTCAGTTTAGTCTTTTAGCTGAATTTACAATTATTTTCTCACAGTGCACCATTAATGCCTAAATGTGAAACAATAAGAAATGTCCATGCTCTGTTACATTCATTTCCATTCTGAGTTTAGAGTTTTTTTGATGTAATCATGTTTTTTGTAGTGCAGGCTCAATGTGAGAGGACATCGTATTTCTTGGATTCAGGTTAGCTCAATCTAGCCATTCTTGAGGTCACTAACCAGAAAAGCATGGGAGGAAGATTCCTTTGTCTTTTCCTGAAGGGTCATGCAATGGGTCACCAAACAGAACACTTGAATATATGTGCTCTAAAGTAAAGGTAAAATAAGTACCTAAGTACCTATTTTTGTCACTGACTGTCGAGTGTGTACTGAAACAGTGATAGCAAACATAATTTCTACTTTTCAGAGCAGCTGTGTTGATAAAGATTCTCATTAATGCGAAGAGGCTTATAGATCAAAGTCTATTCAATCAATTTTATTTGTATTCACTTTTTTGATTGCAGTGGTTTAAAAAGGTCACAACCAAACTCCAGATACTATGGAATAATGGAGCTTGGTTACTCACAGGAGTACCATGCTTTAGGAGCTAATTTAAGAAGAAACACAGTGTTCTTTTTGCATGATTGTGGAACTGTTGTACAATAGTGGTAGGGACTGGGTTCATAATACAAATATTTACCAATCAGTCAAAGGAATCTAAAGGTCACAACGTGCATGCGGGAACTGAAGATCCTTTTCCAACAGAAAAATGCAATATTCTCCTAATGTGCTCAGCCTTACTGTGAGTGTTGGATGTGCTTCCTGCAGGACAGCTGTAAGGAGCAACATCTAGGCTGTTGAAATGTGCTATTTCTGCTGTTGAAATTTGTGACTAGCAGTGCTCATAAATGGTTCTGGGGAGGAGCACGCTTTCTTTCTTGCTGGCTATTGTCTGGACTTTTGCAATATTTTTTCTTGAACTGTTGGATCTTCAGAATGTTGGATTGACTGTAATGTGCCATGATAAAACTAGGATTCAAATACTAGCAAATCACTGAGCTCTGGGGAAGTGATTAATTGGCAAAAAACCAAAAATAATCATTGGGAAGAGTGAAGTGCGTGAAGCTTGTATTTTATGTGTTTTGTTTTTCAGTAATAGTAGTACTTTATTGGGTATAATTGTGTAATCATTTTAGTCAACTTAAGTGTGTGCAGAGAGAAATCTGCTTCTGTTTCACAGCACTTTTAAAAAGGTTTTATTTTAGATAACAGTTGCAGCCTTCTCCAAGTAAGCATATTGTTAGTTTATATGGAAGGGAACTATTTGATCAATGATGAAGTTGTAACTTAGAGGACTAATTTTGATATAAAATTTATGCTTCCTGTATGACACATAATTTTTACCTAGCCAGCAAATCTTTGCCAATGAGGAACTGATGGTGTGATCATATTAATTTATATATTATTAGTCTTCAAAAATGTCCCCTACATTTGTCTGTGGTAAGCAGTAGCTGGGGATTTTTTCTATTTCCCTAGTTACTTTTGGTTGTGTACTGGAGGGCAGGGTTTTGATATTACTGCATGTACTGTATTCTTTTTCTACTTACAATCAGTATTTGAATACAAAAATGGGACCAAGTTTTCTAATTTTCTAGTTATGCTGTCTTGGTTTTGAAAGAGCTGGTCTCTAAGTCAATATGTAATGTAGGCTTTTTGTTTGTATGTTTGTTTTAATATTGTTGTAAAGTGTTAAATGAATTCTTTTTTAAGGTGAAGATCTTCCTTTCAGTGAGCACAAGTGAAATAGTAAGGTGAAGAATTTAGATAGTTGTACTTTCCCTATTCCTACAATCAATGGTTCAGGAAGTTCTGTAGCTGACAAAACAAGACTTGCAATATTACATGACCATTTTTGTTAGAGTTTTGCTGATGGATCAGCTTGTGTGTGCATGTGTTGCTGTGTTTCATTCTATTAAGTTGTTTCCAGTTGTACAGTAAAATTAAGTAGCTCTGTTTCTTCTGCCACAGTGTGACTGTTACCCATGAATGTTAGGAACCCTGTGGAAGTTGTGTTGTCTCCGGGTATTTTGACAGCTTGCAGATATGAAATGAGTCAATGCTGTTATGCTCAAGTTTCCAGCAAGCTGTTGGATTCATTTTGTTAAGTCTTGTTACTGGTTTAGTGAGAGCTAAAAGGTCAAAAAATTGCAGAGGCTTCTCACCTTTGGCCACTAGAAGTCTCTGTGGAACAAAAATAAGATGTGTATAGCAGGAAATAACATCAGGGGAGCTTGCCTTGCTTGCTGTTTCAAATGTTGTTGTGTGACTTAAGATTTCTGGGGGTGCTTAAATCTGCTTACCTTGGAGAGCAGTAACTCATTAGAGACATGCAGGATACACAGGCAGTATCTAAATCTGATGAAACCAGGCCAAAATACACTGTGCCTCAGTTGTCTGCCAAAGCTGAACTGCATGGAGCCCAAGAGTTTGTGTTTGTGTGTGAACCTCTGAAGTAGTGCGTGAAGTTTACCATTCATGCCAGCCAGATAGGGGGCAACTGACCTGTTCATGCACACAACAACTGCCAAAATGGTAATTTAACTTCAAGGCCTTGCATGTAACATGCAAAGAGTTCCCCATACGTGGTTCCCAGAATATGTGATATAACCCAGACCACTAAGTTGCATCATGCAGAATATTCCCCTATCTCTATTCATGTGTGCATAGCTTCCCAGTGAAACTTTTCATTAGAGGGTCTATATCTTCTATTAAATAGGCAAAAAATTGGTGCACTATGCCTCTAGTTATTAGAACTGCACAGTATTTCAGCTTGACCTGTACATGTGTACAGGTAGTGTTATCATCCAGTGTTATCACATTGTTTGGTGTTCTTTTTACCATTTGTGTAATCAATAAAAATGATTTTTCTGTTGTTCCCTTCAGTGTCTTCTATGAGAGATTCTCCCCTTTCCCTCAGTGTTTATAAACATGGTATTTCAGCAAAAAGGAAAGATATTTTTTTTTCCCTTAAAAAACATCAAACATGAATGAATGGTCTTAAATTTGACAGAGTTGTATGTTCAGACACATAGCTGAGAAACGGAAAATTGATTAATTTAATGAAATTGTGTAGCTGTTTAAGTGACTGTTCCCTTAAGTGCCATGTTAAAAATCAGCAATATGCGGTACAAGAAATTCGAATCACAAGCAAAAGTGATACTATCTTCACAAAGATTGATGTAAAGAAAAAATAAATTGTTTATTGCTTTATATATTGCTCTGTTTCTTCCCTTTTTTTCCCCCTGTAACAGATGGAAATATCTGCAGGTGTCATCAGAACAAGCCAGTGGTAGAGCTTGTATTTTTGGCTGATAACGGAGTTTGAGAGAATCTCTATAAAGGAACATACATGTAAATTTGGCTTTGAAGCATGAAGATGTGAACCATAGACATGTTGCATGCAGGTGATGCTGACTGGGTAAGCTTGTCATTGGTATCCTTTATCTTTGGGAGAAGAGGAAGAAATGAGACAAAATTTGCATGAGCATTTACAGGAATTTTCTGAGTTCACACACTTTCTGGGAAACATATTTGTATAATATCTCCTGACACCCCAAAAGCTTCTTTAGAAGGCTAGATACTGATGTTCTGACAGTCTTTTGTAGTAAAAGAAATAATTTAAGCTGTTTTGAAAATTTAACCAAACTCAATTAATTTGGAAATCAAGTCTCAATATTTGTCTTTCAGATATGAACTTTGCATTTTGGAATTGATTCCCTTAAAGAGGTTTGAATACCTCAGCTACTTCAGCTACGTAACTTAATAGCTTAATGTAAGGGAGGAAAAAAATAAGGGTTGGGACATGACTGTAATTGCATATCCAAGCATGTCTTTCATAGCAGAGGTGAATAGTGCACAGTTCTTGTCCTCTGTCTCTGCTACAGAATGACAAGCTGTTATAGGAGTAGATATTGGCACAGCTGGAAATCTGTTCAAAGGGGTTGCAAAACAGGATAGAGATCATCAGTTGAGGCAGAACACAACTATGGCCTAAAGACCTTGTGTCCTGTTTACTGAAAGTTTATAGTCAGAGAAATAAACAGAAAATTCTGGGAAGAGAGTGCATGGGGAGCAACGTCCTCACTTGGATACTTGGCATGCTTAGCTTGAGTAGGTTGTACAGCTGCTGGGGCCTGTAAAGAACAGCTGAGACTCCCATTTGCTCCTTGGAGCTAAACTTGAAGCATCTGCTCTATTGGGATTGCAATAAGGGTGTGAGTGTGGCTGATGTATGTTAAAAACCTGGTTCCTAAGAAATGCATAACTTAGGATAAACACAGCTGGCATACTCTGATCCAAGACCAAATACCTGCAGAGTCTGTCTATGCTGTGGGTGCCTCAGAGATGCAGAGAACACACTGAATCTGCTGGTATTACAAGGTATCAGGTGTTCCTTCTTTGGGATTTTCAGAAGTGCTAAGCATAGCTTCCTTATCTGCAGCTCCCTGACCTCAACAGAAAGCAGAATCCATGTAGTGCTGAAGCATTAAGAATTCCCACACATGAAGTATGTTCCCTCAGATAATGCAAAGGAAGGGTGTGCTCTGCCTTGGAAACTTCCCCCCTAGAAAATAAGGTAGAAGGTTAAATCAGTAGTTAGCAGAGTTTGCACTGTGATGATCTGCTGGAAAAGCTACATTTGTCCACAGTTCAAGGATACCCACCTGTAGTGCTTTTCAGAGCAGGAGACTAAAAAGCAAAATGCAGGACTGTATACTTGTTATAAATGATAAAATAGTGTTGGCTTCCACATTCATAGGTTAGCTTTTTGCATCACAAGTATTTTGATATAGTACAACTTATACTTACTTTTAACTGCTTTATATAATCTGTCAGTTTATGTATGCATTGTATAGTTCATATGAATAGTAGTATAATAAATATATTATAGGCCTTAGCAAAATGTTGAAAGAGAGACTAAAATATTTCTATGTAGCAAATTCAGAGAATAGTGTAAAGTAATAATAAGGCAACAGTGACAAGAAACAGAGCATAAGCAGCAGGGAAGGATGTATCGACTATTGGCGCTATCAGGGATGGTGAACCAACAGGATAAAACTACGGGAAGAAATAAAATATATGGGCCTAATTTACAGAATGTCCTGCAGACAAGTCAGAGCTTAAAACCAAACGAGAGTTCCTAGAACATCAAAAACTCAAAGGAAGGTTTGGATAATGTATAATACACGCTAATGAATATGCATGTAACCCCAGCAATGTAACCATATTTAGAGAACAGGATTTTAAGCTACCTCTGTGCTCTTTGGCCATTCGCCAAAAGCACCCCAGCACTGGATTATTTCATCCTTTATAAAACTAAAAATTCTAAAGAGTGAACTCTGTTTTTCACATACTGAATGTGATTTTAAAAACCACAGTTATTAAAAATATATATCTCCAGTAATTAAAACATTCAATGCTAGAATATTCCTGGTCAATTAAGATGAATTTGGCCAACTAAGATTCCCTCAGTCTTGAGCAGCTGCATCCTGCCATTGTCTCTCAAATGCAGTGTACCTTTGGTGTGTACAAACCAGCTAGGTTGTGCAGGGAGTTGCCCCTGAGATGTCAAGTTTGAGCTGATGAATAGAATCAGTGATGTCTTCAGGCACTGTGATTGGTGATTAAACTGTGGAATAAGTTATTTGCCTGTTTTATGAAATGCAGGTGTTGTTTTTCTGGTTTTTAATCCTGGAACTCCCCCTTTGGAACACAAGGTATGGGTTTCCTACTTGGTCACTTCTAAAGGAAGCTGGTAAATGTATGGCTGCAGTGTTTGCCTGGTGCTGTCCACTTGAACACTGCTCAGGTTTGAGTTTTCTGTTCTTGTCCTGTATGCAGATAAAGGCTTTTACCTTCATCCAAAGATGTTACAAAGAAGTCTTGAGTTAGTGTTTCAAGGGTGAATAACAGAACTATGAAAGAACAACATCCTAATTAGGCAGAACCTGTATTTGAGCTTACAAGCCCTATGGACGTGGCAGCAGGGGTGGGAATCAATCTACCTTTGCTGCTCTTGGAAACCTTTATTCAAAGTGAGGTTATTCTGGGTCCATGAGGCGGTGCCAGACTCAACCTGCTAGCTCACCACACCACAGAGTGGGCTGCTCTCAGGAGTAAAAACTCCAGGTGCAGCTTAGCTAGGTCAGAGGCTCTGCAGCACAGGAATAGTTGGAGCACCAAAGGTGGAGGTAAAGGCAAGGGAGAGGTCTTTTGTATAGGTTCCAGAAAGGGTTTGTTCTTCTGTAGAGTCCAGGAATGAAAGACAATAAACACAGCTGTGCAGGGGTTTAAATGGGGGGGGGTCTCAAAGGGAGAGTACACAGGGGAAGATCCCAGGGTGGGATATACAGTTAACCAACTAATAGGGGAGCACAAGAAGAGGGAACAATTTAAACAAACCAATAGGGCAGCAAAGATTAGGGGATTTCCAAAGCAGGGGTGGGTACAAAAAGGGGGATTGACAAGGAACTTTCTGGACCAAGGGGCTGGTATAAAGGGGAATTGACAGGTAGTGGGAGGAGGAACAGGGAATTTTGTGGACAGGTGTTCTGAGCCTGAGAGAGTTTCAGCCTGTCAGGGGCTCATCTGTTCCCAGGGGAAAAGTTCCTGGGGACAGTTTTCTCTCCAGGATTGTGTTATTGTAAATAGATTATATTTCTCCAAACAATACTGAACAGATGTTCTTGGTGAGTTTACTCTGGTCCCACCAATGGGACCAAAGGGGGTGTTGTTCCTTCTACCAATCAGGGTAACCTGGTGGGAGAATCTTTATAAGGGTTGAGAAAACCCTGAAATAAAGGCTTTCTTTGCCTTACGAAGCAGCTGTGTGTGTCAGATTATCTGAACAATCCTCAATACATCATGTCCATCAGTGACAAACTTTCTGGATATAGGGGTAGGTCTAGGGGAAGACAGACATCGAGGTAGGAATGTACAACTTAACAATATAGGGGGGAATGAAACAAACCATTTGTAAATTAAATACACTACAAATAACAAAACACAGGTCTAGGGAGAGCTTGACCCAATTTCAAAAACAGTTGTAGCCTCTCAGGGTGTTTTGTCCCTTCCTTGCAGCTAGGAGCAAACAAAAGCAGTGGCCTTCCTCATGTTCCCTTTGCTCTGAGAATTTTGTAGTATGATTGCTGTGACTTCCACGTGATCATATTCCACTGTAAAACTAAAGGTGAGAAATTAAATATCTTTATTTCCCTTTGAGAGAGTTCTGAATGCTTCTACTGCCATTTGAACTATTTACTATTGCTCCCATTTCCTTTTCTCCACCCTGTGTAGTATCAGATGCAGCCACTTTCCTTTTGGACTTGGAAGAGTTGGGTGGAACTCGTGGGCTGTGAACACCACTCCCAGGGCAGGCAATCAAGGGCACAGTTCAGTCCTCTTGACTTGGGACAAGCCAAGTTTCTTTTTAAGTGTGGTAATAAAAAGCACTGCCTTTAGGTACTTGCCTAAAACAAAATCACTCTAAAATTTATCTATCTTCACACCTTACTGCACAGGAAAACATCCTGCTTATTTGTATATGATAATTTGCCATTGTTGTTACATTAATCATATAGAGGTTTGGAAGTGAAGGCAATTTATTTTGAAGGTGTGAACAACCCTACATCATTTCTCATTAGCAAATGATGGATATTAACCTGCCTCAAAGAAATGTAAGGACTCCTAAGAGTGTTTAGTGCAGTTACTGTGTGCCAAATAAAGCCAGAGAAAATCTAGTTTTACAGGTTTTGGGGATGTCATTACGATAGGTGAGTGAACAGATGAAGGATGCCATGGTTGGAAGCCAGCTCTGGGGCTGTGGCATCTTGGGAAGCAGGATGGCAGAGGTTTGTTAGAGTCGTGCATGTGAAGGCAGCTGGAGCTGCACAGTGAGGTCTGGCAGCCTGTGCTATTCTTTATCACTGTGGTCTCTTGAAACAATGGGCAATTTCACTGGGTAACAGTGAGTTTCAGACCACACAGTAACCAATCTGGGTTTGTGTTTCAGCTTGTATAGAATACAGAAACAAAGCTTATACAACTTAAGTGCCTCTCACTTGGATTTGCCTCCTCAGTCTTATTTTCTTGGTATTGCCTCCACGTATCCTGTATCTACTAAAGCAAGGAAATGGGATTCTACATCTCAGATGTTTCCCAGTCAGCTTGGGTGAGCTGTGTTGGTCTGGAAGGCTTTGAAGTGGCCCAGTTTGAGGCATCTGCATCCCATCAGGGACAGTGCAGGGCTGGCACAGCCGGGGTGGTGCCGGGTGTCCCGGAGGCTGTATCGGCTCCACACAGGATTGCTGAGGCCGGGGGGATTGCCCCGGTGCCCCTGCGGCCAGCCCGGCACCGCCCGCCCGCTCCTCACGGGGCTGCCCTGGGCGGAGCGCGGAGCCAGG